AAGAGAAATGGAGCACATCTTATTTATTAATGTGATGAACAAAATGTTTGTCATTATGTGTTCTTTAACAAGCTTCAATGACTATAATATCTAGTATCATTATAAGATTTATCATGGCTTAAAATATGAAAGCTTGCAGGACATCTGCAAAGGGCTAGAATTAAGAAACTAATTGTTGCCTTTGGAACCAAGATATATTTTGCACAGAGCCAGGTGGTCAGTAAAGCAGCTGTAAAGTACTGTACCATCAATATCAAAGTATTATACTGCCAATGAGTTGGATAAAATGCACGATGAATGGTTGCTGGATTCCTCTGTACCAAGAGGCGAAAAGCTTCTGTCAACAGCCTAATGAGGAAACATGGAAGATGGGATTTCAAAGCTATCAACAGAATTTGAGAGCCAATTGAAACACAAAGTCAAGTTTTTGTTGTATTTTAAGCAAAGAGCATATTCAGCTCTCTTGATTAGTGAGATAAACAGAATCAGAGTGGACTGGTGTTGCTCTGTCTGCGCGGCTGCAAACATAATGCCATCATTATCCTGGAAAACCTGGAATTGTTACAAAATCAGAGGAAGTGTTTCCCAAAATGCAATGTAATATTAACCATCAGTTTTGCTGAAAAAGACTACAGTGGTTTTTTGCTGTTAACGCAGTAGCAGATGTTAATTATGCAATGCATAATTATTTTCATGTTTTTAATGTTTCTATTTTCTTCTTTTTGCATTTATTGATTGGTAGACTATATTGATCTTAAAGTGGAGAAATTTACTCAACATTTAAAGCTACCTTTAAAGACTCTTACTTATTTCTCAGTTTTTTTCTGCATTTAGGTTGTTCTTTTACCGGTAAGTTAGCTTTAGGCCTGTCATTCTTTTGTTTCAGTCCTGGGTCCCCTGCTTTGTGATCTTTTCTATAGTGCTTCCGCAATCTCTTGTTAATGCAAAACTTTCTGCTATCCTTATTGTTAGAATTCTCTCTATCTCTTGTCTGCATTTGAAACATAATGTATAAATTATTTACATCTGTGAAGCCGGTATGAGGAATTTGGTAATGACTTAAAAAGATGGTCTCTGAACAAAAATGATGCACAAATAAATGTGTTCATGCTGAGCTGATCGCAAACAAAAATATGAAAAGTAGACACCTGTGAAAGTCATGATGTACATCTTCTAAGCAAGAACACCTTGTATGAGAAAAGATGGCTTTTTATGTTATTTTACAGCAAAGAAAGCTGTATTGTTTTTGCCCTAAAACTAATTCGCGGAAACATGTTCCATGTTGAGTGTAGATTGAATTTTTTTTTATGTAGCAAATATTGTGGTAGAATGTTAATGTTCTGTGACAAAACTACTTAGAAATGATGGATTAGAGCCTTAAAGCAAGAAATCACATTAATTCATCCAATCCTTTATTGCTATGTGCTCCCCATTGCAACAAACAGCATCAGTAGTGTACACTTTCATCTACACAAATACAATAAAAGGCAAAAACATAAGCTGAGGGTCAGGACAACGGAATGCTTCAAAGCATGGATAAAACAACAGTATTGATACAGTACATTGAGAATCCTATGCTATAATCTGTCTGCGGCTCAGGGATTGTCATTTTAACATCTATATCTATCCTATTAAAACAAGCTGTCTACAACTTTAGCAGCAACTTTTTAAAGGCAGCAGTTAAAATGGAACTGGGGAGGAAAATGTTACACTAAAAAAGGCAAAGAGCATAATTTGTGTTTTACAAGCTAAAGTAAAGCAGCTGATTGGTCAGTCAGTACATGGCACTGTGACGTACAGTCAGGACTCTAAAGATCTACAAAGCACCTTTAAAAAAACAGCCTTCTGACAACTGATGCGTCTCAAAACTGAGCATGTATATTTACATAGAACTGTTTGCAAAAAAAGGCAATGTCATCACTATTCTATCACATTTGCTTTTGTTTAAATGACAAAAGAAGTTGATTTAGTTTCTATGATGTACCTGCAGCAGCTAACTGCACAGACTGCCATTAGACTTTCAATAAATACTTATGCTCTCAACGCTATATACATGTTCTATACTGTACACCGACACACAGGAGTGAGTGTGGCAAAGCTGAAAACTATCTGTTGAAAACAAAAAAAACCATTTGGCTATTGCAGTCAGATGCATGGTGGTTGTAATGATTCTTTTTTCTTTTTAATCGAAAGATTTTTCTGTGATGAACTTTTGTGTACCAT